GTTAGACGTGGTTCAATAAAAGGACGCTTAACTCAATTGGAGAAGGAAGAGACTCTAGTAATTTCACTGTCTCAACTTAGACGATTCACAACTAATTCATGATCTATAGTAGTTTCGTTTTAGTTTTTTGTGCAATTTATCGCAATTTAAGCGCCGTTATTACCTAATTCAAGCATTGTGTGATCAACTCCCCCATCCCACTCCACCGCCAGACCACTACCTAAGTTTAAAGATTCCGCTTTCTTTTCTTCAGTTGGTTACCTGGCAGCATATGTGTGCGAATGAATTGATTGCTAATCATTTTTCCTCAAATGTGATTTATCTAAAACATGACATGTTGGGACCGACGTTCTTCTTGCTCAAAAAACGTTACTACCCAACGAGCTCTCGTTGAACAGGATTGCGTGACCAGCCAAATGAGACGTCGACTATAGCAAAGAGAATGAATTCGCGCTCTCGAAATAAAACGATTCCGTTGAAGATTGTTTTTGGGGAATACCAAGCGTCTGCATAAACAATATATATATATATATATAATTATCTTATTGTATTCTAGAGGAATTGTTCGGGTTTGGAGAGTCGCTATTGAAGCGGAGAGAACAATAGTAAATAAACGTGAGTGTTATGCAAACAAAACTACCATTCTCAACCAGTCAACGTACACAGCAGATCGTAAAGAATTAAGTCCAATTGTTATCGATATAATACATCCTTTCCAAATGTATTGTCTGTTGCTGAGAAATGGCCATCTGCTTTGAAATGAAATCTTTACTATTTCATAACTAATTTTGAAAACGAGATTAAAAAAAAATCAGACGTTCTCCCATTATGAATTACGTAATTAAAATATCAAGGTGGTGTTATTATTTCACATGAAGAGAAATGTTTTAGCTTGTTTCAAATCGATTGCCGAAGAAGCTGAGATAGATAGACAATACCAAAACTTGAACACAGTCATCATCAACCACTGTCGTATAATCTTACGACTTGAGTGCAGATGTGAAACACATTTCGTGAAAGAAGTAGGCCCAAGTGAGTAATTTCTACAGCGAATGACCGATCTAAGTGCATACTTATCTCAATTTCTAGCCTGTAAAAGACACAAGCAAGATTTCCGCACAGTCCCATCCTTCAGTAATCTTCACTATGCATACATCTCTTAGATAAAGAAAACAATTGCGAAGACGATAGATTTCCTTTCGGCCGGACTACGGCTTTGTTTATGAATATCAAGAAGTCTTTCAAAAGCACGCGCATTTATTTTTAGAGGGCTTGACCGTATTGACCTTAAATAACATATTCGCAAAACAAGAACGACCTACTACGGCGCAGTGTTAGGTTGTTGCAGTTAGCCCTCTCTTTCATCAAATACCACGTTGAGCCATACGCTGTTCACCTCGACGAAGCTAAGATACTAGATAACTGGCATTAACTTCTTATATCTATACAGCACATGATAAATAAGAGTTAAAAGTCTTTCATACCAGGGCAACCCTCAATCCACACCGCTTGGTTGCTCCAATACGCTGCTCATATGCCGCTCTCGGGAATAATTTGATTTGAGCCTCGCTTTGGGGAAGGAACCTGTTGCTGTCAGGAGATGACCACATGTTTTGTCAAGATAGCGTCACGTCACTCGTGTTTTCTAGGAGAGTGTTCATGATCCATAGGGGCTAATTGCGAAAGCTTCTAGTCTATTCGCCCGTTCTAAGAGACATGTTATTGGACTTCTAAGAAGTAGGCCACTGGTTTTGTCTATAATCGGAGCGATGTTATTTTCACACGGTAATGTTATTTTTAATAATGACCCTCATGGCCCTAGTCTCTTCTCGCAGCCGTTCTTTGTGCCGGTATCCCTTTGTCTCCCTCACAGGGATCCCGAGACAAAAAACGGCTGCGAGAGGAGACTAGCATGGCCCCAAAGGAAACCATAATAAAAGCTGACGTGCGTAACCGGACGAGTTGACGTCGTAATTCGGTCAAGAAAAAGGGGTCTCTGTAAAACGTAGACCGGATATATGCGGATGGCGGATGCGGATAGCGGATACGGATGACGGATGCGGATAGAAAAATGTGGATGAAAAATTGCGGGTGGAAAAATGCGGATAGAAAAGAAAATCGGTTGGAAAAAAAAAACAACAACAACAACATTAAACATGTCATTACAGTCGAACCCTGCTATGTCGAACCCCCACTATAGCACAAAATCAAAAGTCGTATCTTAAGGATACTACAGACTTCGTCAATTTCATAGAAAATACGAAAGTCCCAGAGAACGTAATATTTGTTTCAATGGACGTCACGAACTTATATACAAATATAACACAAGAGGAGGGAATAGACACAGTATGCAAAGTATACGAAATATTCTACAGAAACGGAACTCCTATCCCTACACAACTACTAAAAAAAGCGCTTAGGCTAATTCTCCAGGAAAATTCCTTCCATTTTAATGGAAAGCACTACCTTCAAACACATGGTACGGTCATGGGCACGAAAATGGCAGTCGTCTTTTCTAATATTTTCATGAACAAGGTAGAGACAGAAATCCTTGACAAAAGCCTTTTAAAACCGCTTGTTTGGAAACTTTACATAGACGACATCTCGTTATAGAGTACAAACAAAGCAACAATAGAACGTTTCATTGAAAAAGCAAATAATCATCACCCAGCAATGAAATTTACGGCTGAAATTTCCCATAAGGAAACAACATTCCTGGACACCTAAATCAACAAAGGCGAACGATTTGAAAAGGACGCAATCCTTGATGTGCGTACTCATTTTAAACAAGCTGAGACATTTCATTATACACACTATAGTTCCTGTCACCCACAAGGAGTTAAGACTGAAAGGCTTCATAAAATTAAAGGAGAGGCCCGTAGACTTCTCAGAACAAACTCCTCTCAAACGATATTCGAGGAGAAAATTGCAAATTTCAAAGCGCATTTGCTAAAGAGAGGGTACCCAGAGGACCTCATTAACACAACCTTCTCAGAGCTGAATTTCAAAAACAGGAAAGTAGCTCTTCAACAGAAACCGAAGACGAACCAACGAATCTTGCCTTTTGTTACACAATACCAACCATCAGTGCCAAACCTAAAGCAAATTTATTATGAGACACTGGCATTTAATAGAAACACAACCAGTACTGAGCGAATTATACAAAAATCCGCCCCTCATATGTTACAAGAGGGCGATCGCTCAAAGATGTACTCGTGA